TGGGACTGGGGGCATAGCTGCACTGCACCTCGTTTCTGTGCCGGTGGCGGGATGGCGGTGCCTCCCTCGGTGGGGGGAAGGTCTGAGCTTGTCTGTGGGAAGAGCGGCTTGCTTGTGGTAGGAATGACATTCCCGCCCCCAGGAGGCAGGACAGAGTGGGGGCGCCGCTGCCCTGCTCGATTTTGCTCTCCTGACCTGCAGGTGCGTGGGGCCGCTGGCCTGTGTCTCCTGGGCGAGTCCTGGGTGGGGGGAGGGGGTGGAGAAGCCAGGAAGGTGGATGCCCTCAGAGCAGTTTCATCCTCTGGGACAGAGAGGGTGGGGCCTTGGGAGGACACAGTACTTCTGTCTGATGAGGCCCTTCAGCCCCGATGGAGATGGAGCCGTCAGCCAGGCCACTGCCGCCCACCCCTCTCCAGGAAGGGGAAGGAGAAGGGAGGTAATCAGTCAGGGATGGACAGCAGCCATCTCCCCCAGGGCCCCCGCGGAGGATGCCCGAGGCGAGCTGTGGCTGGCTGTCCTGCTAATGACACAGAGCCTTCCCGTCCCCAAGACCTGGGACCTCCAGGGGCCTCTGCTCCATGGGAAGGGGGTGGAAGGGGGGCAGGGCTGTCGGGGCAGCGGCTAGTCAGGCCCCATGTGTCACTGCGTGTCACTGTGACAGCGCCTCAGACACTGCGGGCACTCCGCCCACACGTCAGAGTCGCTGACCGCTGTGCCCGTCATTTACTCCACCTGCTGGCGCCCGCGGCTCTGCCCTGGGCTTTTCCTGCCCACTTTCTAGGTGGGCAGCGCTGCGGCATCCCCACCCCCTCTAGTCAGGAGCTGCCTCCGCCAGCAAGCCCTGGAGATCCTGGAGCTCCCCTTTCATCCTCGCCCCCCCACTCTGTCCCACTTCCCCACCCGGACCCGGGCTCCTGGGTCTCCCACCTGCTTGCCCTTGAGTCCTGTCTCATCCAGACTGAGATGTCAGCTCCTGGAGGGACTGGCCGAGACACAGTGTGCAGAGCCGGGGAGGGTGGTCCGAGGGCCTCTGGCACCCTCTCAGGCTGCTGAGCGCCTTCCTCTCTTAGCCCCTGCTGGTGGGAGGATCTGACCCACCTGTCAGGGTGAATTCCTGCTAGGTGCTCAGTCTTTTTCTGAGGGCCTACTGTGTGCTGGGAGCTGAGCTAGGGGAGGAAGAAGCTAAAGGGTGGTCAGATGTGGCTTCAGGCCTCCAGATTCTTACCATCTGGAGTAAAGGGGAGGCGGAGGTGGGGTACTAGGGCGGGGGGGGGGGGCACTGCCTCTCCAGGGAGGGAACCAGGCCAGGAAGGGAGATGGGACCTGACCCCGGCCTCACGCCCCAGGAAGCAGGGTATCCTGATGGTCAGTGCCAGGACTCAGTTCTCGTGGGAAGGGGTTCAAAGACCTTGCAGACAGGGGGCTCCTGCCCACCAGGGGCTGCACAGAGGGGCTGCGAGGAGGGCAGAGCCAGGGCTGATGCTCCGACTCCTGGAAGTGAGAATGTTGCAGGCGGCCCCCGCCCAGCTGGAAGCTGCATCGTGACCCCCTCCACTCACCCCGGAATCGTCCCGGAATCCCCAGGTCGGGCCAGGGGAAGGCGTGAGGGGACGCTGTGGCCAGCCCAGCCTGGAGTCACGTCTCCAGTCACCTCCCCCTATTTTCCCTGCAAGTAGCAAGGCCGGGAAGTGACGCTTCCCTCCCCCGAGGCTCCTCTCCTCATTAATGCAAACCCTGGGATTAATTTAATTACACGCTCACTCATCTCTGAGAGGCTGGGCCTCAGAGGCGCCCGGTGGGATCACGAGTTGCCCGGGGCTGCTGGGAAGGCTTGTCCTCCCCAGGTGCCAGGCCATTCCCGCGGTCCCTGTGCTCCTGGTCCCCCCTCCCCCTGGCCGGTTCCACTTCACTCTCATGCTTCCTTATTATGGGGCACATGCTCTGGGCCACCAGGTGCCCCGCTCCCTGGCTCCTGGTCACCTGCAGCTGAGTGTGGGGCAGCGAGGCCAATCTGGAACTTTCAGGAGGAAGATTCCTGTGAATCTGGGGCTGCATCTGGGGAAGGGCCCCCAGCCCTGATCTGGGAGCAGTGGGCAGAGGGTGGCTGGTGGGGCCCACTGTCCAGGTCTCCTCCTCAGTCACCCTTCTGCCTCCTTGGATTAAAAATGTAAGTGACCTCAATGGCTGGCTGTGTCGTGTGAAGGCGCCATAATTTAATCGATTCTCATCGTAAAAAAAAATTTTTTTCCCTCCTCTTGAAGTGAGTTATTTGAAAGTGAACAAGAAGTAGCGTGAATGAATGAGCGATTGCTGGTTCCTCCAGGAAGCAGCAGCACCGGCGGGACTTCCGGGCGCTCCCTCCCGGCTCTGTCCGCTGCGTGGACGCGACCTAGGCCGCAGTGCTCACACGTGCAATTAGTTCTGTGTCCGGCTCGTTCCGTCTGCGGTGGAGTGTCTCCCACGTTGTGCAGGAGGGAAGCTTTCGCCGAACGCCCCCGAGTGACGGCAGGGTGTGGCTCGCCCTGCTGGGCGCAGTCGTGGTCACCGGGACTCTGTCTGCATTCTTCCCAATTAGCGTTAACGCTTCAGGATAAATGCCACTGGAATTACCCGATGATTCAGAAGAGTTTAAGACTCCATATTGTTCTTTTGAAATTCAAACAAAACCCCCACACCCTGGTGGTCTGAAGTGTGCTTTGTCCTCTGTGGCCACTTGGGGTTGGGGGCAAAGCCACATAGATGGTCAGTGGCCGTGGCCTCGGGCCAGTGCCCACATGTGGTGGTTAGGGGGGACAGCTGGCCTGCAGCTGTGACCTGGGCACCCTGCGGTCTGGTGCTGGCAGTGTGCAGCGGGGGTAGGGGCGGGTGTGGTGGGGCCATTTGGACTGTGTCTCCCTTCTGTCCCCACACTTTTCTCCTCCCTGCTGTCCTGGGAGCTGGGTGTGGGGCCGGCTGTGGGCTGTGGCTGAGGAGACGGCCAGCTCAGACGGGAGCAGTGGCGTGACCCACCCCCCTGCCCGCCCATCTGCCTAGGGCTGTGTGTGACTTAGTCACTTGATGGGGCCGATGGCCCCTCTTCTGAGTTCAGGGCTGTGCCCTGTGGTGGGGCTTCGGGGAGCAGGGAGCTGGCTTGAGGCCACCCCCGAAGTCTGGGCAGTGATGGAGCGTCCTGGGGGGAGGCTTGACCAGGAACTGCGTCTCCTTTCTGGGAGCATCTGCTGGCTTCTGTAGGCGCTGCTCCGAGTGGCCAGGCCTGGCCTCTGGAGCACTGACCTTCGGGGTCAGGCCTGGGCCCCGATCCCTCTGCTTTCCTGCTGGCCAGTGTGGACACTGAGTTCCTCCGAGCCTCCTCATCTGGAAAGTGGGGACAATGCCAGCTTGACCCTCGCCCGACGCAGGGGCTGCCATGTGTGTTGCCTGGGATGGGGGGTGGGTCCTCCCGTCCCCTCCCGTCCCCTCCCCCACCAGCCCCTCCCAGAGAGAGACCGCACTGGGCCTCTGGGCCTCGTTGTCTTAACCTGTGCGGGTGAGAGAGCGGAGAGCCCTCTGCAGTTTATCTCCTCCATTGCTTCCCAGCTGCTGTTCCGGGGAGCCCTCCTGCTCCCAGCATGCAGGCTGCACACAGGTTTGGGGAGTCCGGGTTGCACCCCAGTTCCTTCCCTGTGCCCAGCACACCTTTCCCATCGGGCCTGTTAGTGTGGGTGGGTTGTAGGAAGGGACGTGGGGACTGCTTGTCAATTTTGGGTGGCTGATGAGTGAACTGAGGCTGGGGACAGGCATGGGGTGTGGGCTGTGGTGACCCTGGGCCAAAGGAGGCTGAGAGCAAGGCCTTGTTGTAGCCGCAGCCCCCCCTCCCGGCCCCGGGCAGGAGGGATCTGCGGGAGCTGGGTCCCCACACGGCACCTGGTGGGGCGGCCTCTGGGGTCAGGGCCCCAGTCCAGTCCCACCTCCGTGCTGCCCTGCGCTGTGCACGGGCCTCTTTACCTCTTGAACCCGCATTCGTCGGCGGTCAGGGGGAGCTATCTGGGGTGAGGGGACGTGAGCGTGGGGAGTGTCGGGCCCCCGGGGGCCTCCCGGCAGAGTGGCCTGTGGTCACCCAGTGTGATCCCTGGGGCTGTGTGCACCGGCCTGGCAGGGAGCCCCCCTTTTCTGTCTCTGGGAGGCTCCGGGTTCCTAAGAGGTGACTGGGTGGGAGGAGTCGGTTCTGCTCCCCAGAAGTGAGTGGGAGGGGATGGCTCCTCCATTCCTGCCTGGGGCTGGGCCCAGTGCTTAAAAAGTTGCCTGTCCGGGGGCTGGCTGGGTGGGGCTCCCGAGGGTCCTTCCTCGTGCTTAGGGAGCAAAGTGGGGTGGGTCCAGGACAAACGGGCACCTCTGTGGGCAGCTGCCCCTCGCACCTGGGGGGGCCTTGCCGGTGGGTCACGGAGTCCTGGGGAGAGGGCTGTCGCCACCCCAGTCCTGCAGGGTGCCAGTGGGGGACATTCGTGTCATCCGTGAGGATGCCGAGGAGACAGCCCTGCGCTTCTTTATTCCCACGGGTGTGTGAGGGTCCGGCTTGTCCTCCGGCAGCACCCACGCCCCTGGCCCCCTCCAGGACTGTTAAAAGCCCGGTGGGTCTGTTCTCTGTGTTTCCGAGGCGGCGGTGTGGGGGGTTACGGAGCTGGCTTTGTTTCTGAGATAAAGCGTCAGTGGTGTCCCCGGGAAGGCCCTGTGTCCTGTCGGGGAGCAGCGACTGGCCCTGGGGGGGCACAGGGTCCAGGCTGGCAGGGAGTGTGAGCTCTGTCGGGTGCTTGTGAGGCAGGAGGTGTGCAGACCGCCCCTTAGCAGGCACCCCCGCCTTCCCCTCCACGCCTGCCCCGCCCCTGTGGGGGCGGTCGGTGCCCTCGCCCGCCTGCCTGCCTGACCTCTCCTTCAGCCTCACTTTTGCTGTGAGGGGTGGGGGTGGGGTGGCTCTCCTGCTGGTGACCAGGGCTGATGGCTCATGTGCCCCCGTATTGTTGCAGATCCCTCGTCCGCCTACGTCAGACAGCTGGAGACCAAGGTGAAGCTGCTGGAGGGGGACAAGCTCCTGGCACAGGTAGGCCGGCTGCGGGCCGACGGCAGGGCCACGTCTGCTGCACCCCCGGAGCAGCGGGAGCTGCCCGTCCCCGCGTCCCCGCGTCCCTGGGCCCCCTACCCCGTCATGCCTGTCGCCTCCCCCTCACCTGCCTCTCCTGCTCCAGGCCGCCTCCCGGGACACTGGCACCCACCCTTGCTCCACAGTCCCTGGGGTCCCTCCACCACGTCCTTCCACTGTCCCCCGGTGGTCTTCAAGCTCCCTGGGCGCCACACCGGGCCTGTCCCAGAGATCGTGTGGACTCACAGTTGCCGAGGAAACGGGCTGCTTTGCCCCGTGGCAGACAGGTGAACCAAGGCCCCAGAGCTGGGCTGGTGTGCCCGCTCAGACCCACGTGGAAGGCTCCCTGCCCCCTGCCCCCAGTCCTTTCAGGGCTGGGGTCCAGCCTTCTCTTTCCTGGGCCTGGCGGGTGCCCTCGGACAGATGGAGTTGCGTCTCACTCCCAGCATGGCTCAGCACAGGGACGGCGGGTCACAGACGTGGGAGTGAGGACAGAGCAGGGTGGTGTGGCGGGAGCAGGGCGGGCCTGCCTGTCAGCACAAGGGGCCTGTCCTGCCAGGGCAGGGGTCATGAAGGCAGGCTGCGGTCAGCCCCGGCTGGGGTCCTGGGGGCCAGCTGGCTTGGCCCGCCCCTCCAGCCTCTCTGTCCCTTGTACCCGTCCCTGACTCAGTCTAACCCCCACCCCCGTGGCAGCACCCCTGATCCATAGTGGCAGCCGGCTGGGATGCCCAGAGCGTTTCTCTGGGAACCAGCTGGGGCTGGAGGCGGGGTGGGGGGCTCAGCTGCCTGGTCCTGTCGCTAGGTGACCAGCGGGCATGGTGCCATCGCCCTGCTCAGGAAGCCCTTGGTACCCTCCCTGCTGGCAGGGCGGCCAGGGACTCACGGACCAAGTGTGGCGCAGTCCCCAGACCTGGCCCTGCACTGGCCTTGTGGATGTCTCCACAGCGCAGCGGGACTCGGCAGAGTACACATTCGGGTTAGGGCCCCTCTCACCCCACCGCCCCCAGGCTATTCAACTGCAAGGCTGGTTTTGTAACTGTGTATGTGGTAGTTCAGGGTTCTGCACTGTGCCGGCTCTGGGGGCTGGCGAGGGCAGGGAGGGGCTGGGGTCTCACCTGGCTGTGTGCCAGGGCTCCTTAGTCCTGACAGTGCATGTGGACTTGACCTGGACCAGCCGTGGCTGCTGAGCAGGGGTGTGGCGTAGGCTGCGGGCGCTGTGGCAGAAGTGATGGAGGGGCCCCCAGGGAGACGGGCTCAGGGCCTCTACCTGGGAGCAGGTGCCCGGCCAGTGCAGGGGGAGGGAGCTGTCCCAGCGGCTGTGCAGCGGAACGAGGGCCAAGACCACATCTGGTGGCCGTGCGAGTCCACCCCGTCTACTCTTTGTCTGTCCCACTGGCCCCTGGAGAAGCCGGGGGAGAGCTTGAGCTCCGAATTTGGGACGTTGTCCCAAGTCTGGCTGAAGTGTTGCTCAGTCCTGTTTCCACGAGGAGGGGGTGTCCCTGACCCTCTGGCCCCTGCTGTCTTAGGCTACATTGTCCACTGGGAAACGCGCCCCAGTCCCAGGGGTCGGACCTGGCTGTGAACCTGTGGAAAACGTGCGTGGACTGGTGCCGCAGGGCAGCAGTCTCCCCTGGTTTCACAAGGGGGTTCGTACCTGTGTCCCCTGGCTCCAGGCCCAGGTGTGCAGTGGTGGAGGTGGACAGGGGCCCTGTGTCTGGGGCATCGGGGGGATGGTGGCCCCCCCCCAAGCCAGCTCTGCCCTCTCCCGGGGGCCGGCCTGGGGGCCGTGGCCAGGAGGCAGCGCCGTGGGGACCGGCCCCCACCTGTTCCCACACCTGGACTGGGCCCACCCAGCCAGATGTCGTCAGAAGAGGGGCCACGGACCCTCGGCCCATCCCCACGCCTGCTGGCTGCAGGTGGTTAGACTGGGGTTTGGGGGCACGCATGTGCTTTGGCCTGCCTGCTGCCGGATCGCAGCAGAGGGTGCCGGGGACTCAGAGGCCACCCATATGGAAGGTCACATGTCTTCTTTCTGTGGGACTTTTCTTTTTTCCTGAACAAGGCCTTGGGAGGCCGAGCTATTCTGGGGGCCTTATTCTTCTGGGGTCCAGGGAGGATGGGGGTGGCTGAGCCTTCATCCCCCAGCCTCCTGCAGGTCAGGGTTGCCAGCTCCAGCGTGGCTCCTGCCAGCGGTCTTCCCAGGCCCCCCAAGTGGCGTGGTGCTCATCCCAAACTCTCAGCTCCATGGCAGCCCTCCCCTGCTGATGTGGGTTGGGACCCTTCAGCGGGGAGCCTGGCCCTGCCCCTGCTGGACCGCCAGCTCCTTCAGGACTGGGCTGCAGGGTCTGATGGTCACGTCTGTGTCTCCAGTGCCCAGCACAGCTGGACTGAGTGGTTGTATCTTGGGGAGCCCCTGGCTGCCCCCCACCCAGAGTCCTAGGCCAAGAGGGAGTGTGTGGTCCTTGCCCAGAGTAGGGAGTCTGCTTAACTAAGGGAGAACTGCTTTAAAAGGTAGTGAGCGTGTCATCTTTGGAAGTAATCAAGTGACATATGGATGACTATAACCTTAAAAATGATGCTGCTGTGGGTGGGCTGCTGGCCTCGGCCACGTGAGCTCTGGCTTGGGAGGCTTTATGACTCTGGCACTGAAGGGCTGTCACTGAAATCATCGCACAGCGATCTCCAGCTCCGCACAGCGAGGAATCCGCCTGCTGGCAAAGAGCCGGGAGAGCAGTGTTATTCTTTGAATTCTCTTAAGGGGATGTGGCTCTGGGGTTTGGGTGGGAGGGCAGGGAGCCGCGTGGATTCCCACTTCCCACCGCCCCACCCCCCACCATGGCCTCTATTTAACTCCAAAATAGCTCTAATTAAAAATGTGCCAGAGTGTTCACAGGCTAAATTACTGTATTGCAGTTCGTATTTTCTTTCTCTCCTCAGCCTCAAAGTTTCAACACAGCTGCGTCCTCGGCGCCGACGCTCCGCGAGCCCCTGCACACGTTGCTGATTTTCCCTGTGGGCTCTCTGGGCCCAGCTGAGTGGCGCGTGGGCACCGGGGCCCGGGCTCTGTGTTGCCTCAGTCGGGGCCCTGCTGGGCTGGTGCACCCAGCAGCCAGCGCGATGGAAGTGCCAGGAGCCCGCAATGCCGCCCCACGCTGGGCCAGCGGGCCGCGCCTGGGGGTGGGCCGGTGGTAGTCCAGGCCTGTGGCTGAGCCGCCCCGAGCCTGCCCGCGCCCCCTCCTTACCTCAGCACCCCCACCCTGCCAGGACACACAGGGTGGAAGGGACCCCAGCATTCACACCAAGCACAGGTTGGGGATCTGGGGCCTGGTCGGGGCAGGTAGCCTGGCATGGGCGATGGCATCAGTCTGCTGGGGCTGCCGTAACCACACAGCATACCGGGCGGCTTAAACCAGTGAAGTTTATTGTCTCACAGTTCTGGGGGCTGGAAGTCCAAGGTCCAGGCAGGGACAGTTCCTTCTGAGGGTGGGGACAGGAGGATCTGGCCCAGGCCTCTGTCATTGGCTCGAGACTTTCCTCTGTGGGTGTCTGTGTCCCAGTTTCTCCTTTATAGGAGGACACGGGTCACTTTGGATTAGGGCCCACCCTGATGACCTCACTTTAGCCTGATCACCACGGTGGGGGCCCATTTCCAAATCGGCCCCGTCCTGAGGTCCTGAGGTCCTGGGGTCCTGGGCGTTAGGACATTGGCATGTGGACGGGGAGGCCCCCATTCGGCCTGTAGCCCTGCTGTGTCGGCCTGACGTGCGAGAAGGTGGCTTCGGGTCCCGGAAGAATCCCTGAGCTGGCCCTCAGCTGGCGTGGGGCTCAGGCAAAATTCTGTGTGTCCTGGTGTCCCGGTCTCCTCCCCTGTTAGACAGATGATGGCGAGGCCACTGCGGCGCCTGTGGCACTGACCGGAAGCCAGCCCCTGGGGACGCCTTGGGCAGCGGTTCTTTCTCGCCTTCCCCTGACCCCAGGTCCTGGGATACTTCAAGGTCTGGCAGACTGAGCCACCTGGCTTGTGGCTTGGGCCTGCCCGTGTCTGAGCCAAATGCTCTTCTGTCCCTTGTGTGAGGTTTGACCCCTCCCCCAGGCTGGGAAAGAGGGCACAGGTCTGCCACCATCTAAGCCCATTTCTCAAGCCCTGAGGAGGACTGGCGATCTGACCAGTGGTCCGCTTGCCCAAGGCCTCTGGAGACGCGGCCCCGTGGAGTTTCTGCAGTGGCATCTCTGCTCGCTGGGCTCTCCTGTGACAACAGTCTCTGGGCCAGTACTGCTCCCCTCATCTGTTTGGTGTTTGGGGTGGGCCGTCACGCCCCCACCCCCTTCGTTGTGGGCATGTGGTCTTTAAATGCCTCATCAGCAAGCCTCAGAACCGGACCAGCTTCTCCCTGAGCCGGGGAGGAAAGCCCCTTTCCAGCATCTGAGCAGATGGTCAGTCTAACGACAGGGGCAGCTAGACAGCAGGAATTTCACCTCTGTCCCCTTGCTCGAGGCGGAACCGGTGTCCCCTGTGAGCCATGCACAAGGACAGTGTCAGCATGGCAAGAGGCCGAGCCCAGGACTGTAAGCCACAGTCGGGCTCCTGCCCCCAAAGGGCTGCTGACCAGCTGGGTGGCCTTGGGCCAGTGGCTTGGCCTCTGTGCCTCCATCTTCTCATCTGTGAAATGGGGACACTTGAGGTGCCTGCCCCAGGATAAAGGGCAGATCTCGGGAGACTCAGAGGGCGGTGGGCCACTGAGTGTCCTTCCAGACCTCAATTTAGATGGAAGCAGAGTTGGTTGTTTGCTCAGGTTCAACCCAACATGATGGGGTTGGGAGTCCTCGCCCCCCCCCCCAGAAGCCACCCCCTTCCTTGGAGGCCCTGTGGCCGGCCCAGGGGCCCTGTGGGGGCCAGGTGTGGTGGTGGGCGAGACCTTGTCTGCACACTCCCGTCTGTCGCAGGCCCGGTGGCCCTGGCAGTGTGCACCCCGACATTGCGGGGCCTGCGGGGCGCGCGGAGCAGTGCCAGCTGAGAGGCGCAGCAGCCACACGCAGGAACACCTCGTTAGGAGGGGCCCACTGGGCCCCCGCCATGTTCTGAACGGCCTGCAAATGAATTCTCTTACAAGGAAAGAAAAAAAATAATAAAGTAAATCAGGTTGGTAGGACCTGTGAACTCCTGTGAGGGGCCTGAGGAAGAGTGGGGTGTGTGTCCCCACCCGGCCTCCCACAGGGGCAGCTGCGTCCTGGCGGGAGCCGCGGGGAGGGCTGTGGGGGGGGGCAGGGCGTCCTGGTGCCAGTGGGGGGCAGGCGCTGCCAGGCCTTGCTAAATCCGGAGCTTTAAATGCGTGGGGCTCCTGTGAGGTGCCTGGGGGACCCCCCACTCCTGTCCTCGGTGTGGGAAACCTGCTCCGGCCAAGCTGAGGTCCTGGTGGCTTTGGGCCGAGGTGAGGGACATGGCCGGGGGTGCTGGCTGACACCACCCCTCTTCCCTTCCAGCTGCCCTGCCCCCACGTCCCGCCGAGGAGCTGGCTTCAGGTAGAGCTGCCTGGTGGACCCTGGGTGCCCAGTGTTCGGGGTGGGGGGCGCTGTTTTGAGTGCTGTGTGGTGCCCTGTCTGCTCTGGGTCCCCTCGATTGGGCACAGGGGCCCTTCTCGCCCACCCGCAGAGGGCCCTCCCTGCCTGTCAGTGTCTCCCCTGCCCCGCAGGGGCAGCCCTGAGGTGCGAGGTCAGAGGAGGGGTTGGCCAAGGCCACCCCTTGGGGGGGTTAGTGGTGGCTCCCAGCTGGCCCAGGTCCCTGTGAAAGGTCCCTGAGGCCCCATGCTGGGCTTCCTCCCCCCCCCCGGGGGTCTGGTGCTCCTAGTGGTCCCTTGTGAGCAGGCTGCTGGATGGGGGCAGGCTCCCCCCACCCGGTGCCCACGCTGACCCTGGTGTCCCTGGGAGACCACTGCCACCTGCTGGGGAGCACACAGTAGGAGCTCCTGCAGCAGGGCCAGGGCCCTTTGCGGTGGGAGGGAGGGGTCAAGTAGCTGCCCCTGAGCGAACCCTGAAAGGTGGCCTGCCCACAGCTGCCGGCCCCCCAGACGAGGAGCCCCACGTGGCTGCGGAGGCGGGGGGGGGGGCTGCCCCGCCATGGCCCCTTCTGCCCAGCACCCCTCTGACTGTGCTCCCAGGTGTCGAGGGGGCGAGGCCAAGGGAGTCCCCGCAGCTTTTCCAGCAGAAGCCCTGGCGGGAAGCTGGTGGCGGAGGCCCAGGGAGGCCGGGGTGGCCTGAGCCCACACCGCGGGCAGCCTTGTAGGGACAGCCCTGGACAGAGCCCGGGTGTCTGTAAGTGTGCCCTCGGAGGCCCTGCAGCCTCCTGGGTCTCCCTCCTGGTCCATGGGCTCCTGCCGCCTTTGGGGGGCACTAGGCTGGGTGAGCGGCGCTGGGTTTTCGGCCCTGGCCAGTTTCCTTCCCTTTTAAGGGTTCTGGGAAATCCTGTTCCTCTCCTGCTGTGTGTGTGGGAGTCGCCCCCGCCCGCTCCATGTCAGGGAGCTGCAGGCCTGGCAGGGAGTCTCCCCTGCGGAGCAGCCATGCCCCCCCCCCCCAGGCCATTTCAGCTCCCTTCCCCTCAGCAAGGAGAACCGAGGGATTCCTTTCTTCCAGGGCACTAACAGGCAAATGCCAGGATTTTAATTTGGATCTAAGTGCAATTATGGTTCCTCATTTCGATGCGTCATTAGTCACGTTGCCCCTAATGAGAGATTGTGCATTTCCCCACCCGCTTTGAGGCTTGCTAATAAAGTTCTGACGTGCGAAACACGGATGTGCAAATATTTATAGATGGTCACTGAAGGCAGGGGTGGGAATTGCAGGCTGCTAATTAAAAACTCCCCCTCCCGGTGCCCACACCTCCTCCAAGGAAACTGGGGGAGGGAGGAGACAGCCCAGTGTTTGGAGTAACAACGTGTGGGCTCTCTGCGAACCCATTTGGTCCAGGGCCAGAGAGGGGCTCAGCCCAGAGCAGAATCCAGACCGAGTGTGAGGAAGGACTGAGCAGGCTCCGACGCCTCGGGCTGACTGGACTGGCCACATGCAGGCGCATGGCCGTCCCATTTTATCTAAGATCAATGGTTGTGTCTCCCTGCTGAGATTGAACTGCACTTTGGGGGCCACCGGGAAGGGGGATGGGCGGGAGGAGGGGCATGGCCCTTCCCCTGGCCTGGCTGGCCTCCTCCCCTCCAGGGTTTGTTTGGGTAGCTCCGCAGCCTGCTGACTGATGGGACCCTCCCCTGCCTGCTGTCCCAGCGCATTCCTCAGTGCCTTCGAAGTCGAAAAGGGTGCCTGGGCCAAAAATGCCATGAAAGGCCCAGAAGCCTGGCTTCTGCTCAGCTGGACCCAGGGCTGGATGGGATTGAGCACGGCCAATGCCTGGTCCTCTCCCTGTCCTGCCGGGTCTGAGCCCCCAGTGCCAGCTTCTGCCAGGAGGGGTGGGGGAAAGGGCCAGCTTTTCCCCGCAGGAAACAATCTAAGGCCAAGTAGGTGTGTTCATTCCTTATTCACCCATTACTCACACACATTCACCCTTCCCTCCCTCCTAAGCTCGTGCTGGGCATCAGTTAGGAGCCCAGTTCGCACTGGTTCCTGTGGGTACAGAGGGGTGAGGCCCAGGGCCTGCGTTTGGGCGCCCCTGTCCGGTGGTGGAGGCTCAGGGGCGCCCTGAGCAGAGAGCTCCCTGTGAAGGGCTTACCCTGCAGTGAGCCCCAGCACCCATGGGAGGCAGGAGGACCTTCCTGTGGAAGCGGGGGTTCCGGAGGGTGCAGGGAGCCCCGGTGTGGGATACTGGAGCCAAGGAACAAAGGCCAAGGGGTGGGAGACCGTGCCCTGGTCACTCACCTGCTGCCCACGTTTGTGCAGCGTGGCGGGGGTTAGGAGGAGCAGGAGGAAGCGCCTGCCTCGGTGGGCTGTGAGGAGCTGTTGCAGGGGGTGGGCTGGGCCTCCCAGCAGGAGCCTAGGGCAGCCCACAGCCGTGAGGAGGAGCCGCTCCAAGTGCCCGCTAGTGCCCGTGGGCACAGTCCTCAGCCGCCTCTGCCCGACCCCCCATCTGACCTCTCTGCCCCTCTCTCCCGTGCAGCAGGCAGGCTGTGGAGAGTTCCGGACGCTGCGGAAAGGCTTCTCCCCATACCACTCGGAGTCCCAGCTCGCCAGCCTGCCCCCCTCCTACCAGGACGCCCTGCAGAATGTGAGTGCCCCTCCCCCAGGAGCCCCACCGTTTCCCTGAGGACCTGGCACCTCCAGAATGCTGGGTCCCCATGCCAGTGGAGGGTGGGGCTCAGACCCCTTGGTGACCTGCCGGGGCCCGAGGGCAGTCTGTGGCCACGCTGGGGCAGGGGAGGGTAGTGGGTGAAGGCTCGGCCTTCCTCATTCTCCCACCTTCTGGAGCTTTGTAAGGTCTCCGTGTGGCCTGGCTCGGGGTGACGGTGTGGTGGCACCAGGCCGTGTGCAGGCCGTGAGGGCGGCTGCCCAGCTGCCGTCCCGCCGTGCAGCTCCGTGGCCCTTGAACGTGGTGGGGAGAGGACGCAGGCTGGTGCTGGTGCTTGGGGTGGGGCTGGGTGTGTATGTGGGAGGGTCGCTACCCCAGGCTCGGCGACGAGGGTGGGTGGGGGGATGGCTGCAGTTATCCACAGGGGCCTCCAGGGTTATCCCGGGCTGTGGCCGGCCCTGACGACAGGAAGGGGTGCCGTGGCACCAGCACACCTAGATCTCTAGGGGCAGAGAGTCCACGGGCGGTGGCCAGGGGCGGGGAGGTGGCTGAGCTGGGGAGGGGTTGCTTTTGGGTGTGATGGGATTTTCTCCTGTGATTGCACCCACCTGCGAATGCACTAGAAACCACTGCCCGGGAAGCACTTATCTCCCGAGCTCAGCAGAGACTTTGAACGAGAACCACCAGCATCTCTCGAGTGTCCGCCACATGCCGTGCCGAGGGCTCACCTCACACGTGAGCTGCAGCGAGGCGGGGCCCCGGCCTGTCTGGGCCAGCCCGGCATCACTGTGGGTCCTGGCCCTGCTTCTCCCCTCCACCTGGGCCAGCAGGGACCATCGGGACGCCCCTGCAGAGCCGCGCTGGCCTCGGTGCTGGCGGACGCCAGGGACTGCCGGTGGGGCCGGCCGTGTCTCCCAGAGGCCCTTGGCCCTTGTCCAGGCTCGTAGCTGCCTACGCTGTGTGGACGGCAAGGCCGCCAGCGGCAGGTACTGCAGATGTCCAGGCAGGAGCCTGTGGCTGAGCGAGGGTCCAGTCGCTTCTGAGTAAGGGCCCCGGAAGAGCCCCTGATACCCATGTGGGTGGCTCCTCCACCCCACTGCCCCACGCCCTCCGTCCAGTCTGATGGCTAACAGCGGTGGAGGGCTGTGTCCTGACGCCGTCTTGGCCGTCTGCGGACCGTCCAGTGCCCTGCAGCCTGGCCGGCTGGGCTGCGGTGCTGCACAGGCCAGCCTCGCTCTCCGCAGCTGGACGATGGGGCTGTGAGGGGCTGGTGGAGGGCCGGAGTGAGGGCTGAGTGGGCAGAAGGTTAGGAGGGCACGGGAGGCCTTCCGGGGGAGCTGTGCATGGGGAGGCCCGTGCCGGGAAACAGCCACTGCTGCGTGTTATTGGTGCCTATTGTGGGTCCGGTGGTGGCTTCATTTACTGGCTCCCAAGGCCACACTCGGGCATGGGATGCTGGTCAGGAGAGGGCTGCACTGCACAGCCTGCTCCTGGCTTCCCTCCTGCCTCTGCTCCAGGAATCAGCCCCCTTACAGACCAGGTTGTTCAGGGAGCCCCGGCCAGGTACAGACAGAACAGGAGGCCAGAGGTGCCAAGAGCTAGGTGCCTGACTGTACATGTGTGGCTGTCGCCCCCTCCTGGCCGATGGGGGCAGTGCAGCTCTCTGCCTCAGGTCGCTGTGTGTGGCTTGCCTTCCACCTGCCCACAGACCTTCCAGACCTGTCATGTGGTCCACTCACATGACGGACCTGGCGTGGGCACCATAGGCCCGGCAGCTGGGCTGGAGTCAGGCAGTGCCCCAGGGCTCTGCATACACCCTGGGACCCGGGAACCTTTTTGTTGACCAGATGAGGAAACTGAGGCAGAGTGAGTCGGGCCCTGCCTGAAGTCACAGCCAGCAGAGCCTCACCCAAGCCCAGGTTTTCGAACTCCAGGCCCGGGGGTCCTTGCCTCCCTGCTGTTGGCTGCAGGGTGAGCTTGAGAGGCCCTGGGGGCAGGCAGGTGGGGACAGAGGAGGGGTGTTGGCTGCCAGGCAGAAGGTTCTGGGCCCTGAGGGTCTCCGCACAGCAGGGCTGGATGGGCAGGCCCCCAGGGCGGTGGCCCTCAGCCAAGCTCACCCATATGCTGGGGCCCTGGAGGAGCCACTGGCCCATGGATGGGAAGGGAAGCAAGACTCAAAGAAGGGCAGGGCCTGGGGAGCCCAGCTTGGGGGCCTCCTCCCTGTCCCCAGGCCCACACGGAGGCCGGGGCGCTCTCTCCCAGTGCTTTCTGTCTGGGTCCCCTTAGGCCCACTCCCCTAGTCTTCTGGACACCTGGCTCCAGTGGGCCCTGGGGGGCTTCATCCTCGAGGCCTCTTTGTCTGTGAGTTTTTTCCATGGGGTCCTGAATGCAGGGTCCTCCTTGCAGCCCAAGGCAGAAGCCCAGTACCTGGCTCCCTGGGCCAGTGACCCTTGTGGGGAGAGCTGGGAGGCCCTGGGCAGACACTCAACCTCTGCCACAGACGGCAGGGTACTGAGAGGCCGGGCTGGCTCCTTGCCTGGCTCATCCCAGTCCTGTGGTCTGCTATGGGAGTTCGCTATCTAATTGCCCATTAGAGTGTGTGCTGAATCAGGTGGTCAGACTGGGCCAGGAGGCAGGGCTCAGGACTGGAAGGGACTTACAACCCTGGGGCGTGGCGGGTGGCATCCAGGTGAAGCAGCCACTGGGCAGTGGGAGAGGCGGGGCTCTGGACTCAGGACACCTGGGGTCTGCCAGGTGCTGTGTCTCCGCTGCCCTCGGGCTGTGTGTGCTGCCTTTGCATGGTGTAGACCGTGCACTCGCTCTGTGTGGAGGAGCCCGTGTGGCGTGGTGGGCTCCAGGTGCTGCCTCTCAGCCCTGGCCCGCTCTGCGCACCTGCCTTCCCTCCCATCAGCCTCCCCTGTTTCCTCCTGCCTGACCTCAGGCCCCATGAAATCAGGGGCCTTGCTCAGTGCTGGTCACACCTGTGGCCACCACCTGGGCCTCTTGCCGCGCGAGCTAAGGCACGTGATTCCCTCCCACAGGGCCCGGGCTGCCCCGTGCCCGAACTGTCCTCACCCCCCTCGGCCGTCTACAGCCCCCCAGGACAGAAGCCCGAGGCCGTGGTGCATGCAATGAAGGTGAGGGCCACCTGCCCACCCACCCCCAGTTCCTGCCCCCTCAGGAGCCTGATCGCTGGTGCCCTGTGGGCCATGTGTCCCTCGGGGTTGTCTGAGTCGAGACCAGGCGGCTGTGACTGCCCGGAACACTGTCAGGGGGGACTCTGGGGGGCTGGGTGCCCGCAGCAAGTATGTTACCCTGCACCTGTTCTCCCTGCACCTGGGGAAACTGAGGCCTGGGGGGATAGGGAAAGGGCAGGCACTGCCTCCAGGTCAGAGTCATGGGCAGGACTGGAGCCCAGGTCTCCTTGGCCCAGCTGCTTCTCACCGCTGGTACGGCTGCCTCCCCCCGAGATGTCTGCGGGTCCCGAAGAAGCGCCCCTGTCTCTGGGCACATCTCCTCCTGCTGTGCCCACCCGTCTCCTCACCCTCTGAGCCGCCACCCCCCCACCACATGCACGAGTGGGAGTGGGTGCTGTCCCCGGTCCTTCTGTTCACTAGTTACATGCTGGGCCTTAGGTTGGAGTGAGTCCACCTGTGCGGGGGGTGGGGGGGCCCTCAGCTGCTGGACATGGGGGTGCTGCTTCCCTTGTGTGGTGTCCACAGTGTCACTGGGCAGAGGGGAGAGGACTCAGGAGGAGGAGGGGTGGCCTGGCCTGGCCCTCAGACCTCTCCGCACCCTGGCCCCCGGGCCCTGTTCCCTGCAGGTCCTGGAGGTGCACGAGAACCTGGACCGGCAGCTCCAGGACAGCTGTGAGGAGGACCTGAGCGAGAAGGAGAAGGCCATCGTCCGAGAGATGTGCAACGTGAGTGCCCCGGGTGGGCGTCCAGGCCTGACACGGGGGTGTGGTTGCAGCTGTCCCCACGGTCTGTCCCCGCTGCCCCCTGCACCCTCGAGAATGCAGGTCCCTGATCTCAGCAGGTCGGTCTGTCCTGGGAATGGGCCCCTGGCTCCCAGGAAGGGTCTTGTTTACCTGTGTGTCCCGACCAGGCCACTGGCTGCTGGCCTCCCAGCTGGATGGGGCCCCTGCTGGCCACCCAGGTGGCGCTCAGACTGGAGATGCAGGCGGCCCTCAGTTCTGGGGCCTGCAGAGCTGGAGCTGCCTGGGAGGGACGGACTCACTGACCTGTCTCCCTGGTGTGGGTCTCTGGGCCCTGGTGGAGGCCAGCAGGGTGGGGTGGTTTGCAGGGGCTGAACCAGAGCCTCCTGGGGGTGGAGTGTTGCAACCCCCCTCCAACACTGCCTTCTGAGTCCATGGGCCCCCCTGGGCAGCTGGGAGGCCGAGGCTGCACCCCACTGGTGACGTGCTCAGGTGGCTGTGAGGGTGGATGTGAGAAGACTGGGCCTCCGTTTCTTCCCCTGTCCCCACCAGCCCTGGGGATGTGTGGGCAGGCTCCGGGAGGGGCCCTGCACTCACAGCCGGCCTCTCTGCACAGGTGGTCTGGAGGAAACTGGGGGATGCCGCCAGCTCCAAGCCCTCCATCCGGCAGCACCTGTCTGGGAACCAGTTCAAGGGGCCTTTGTAGGGCCTCTCCTCCGTGAACACAGACTGTCCCTGCCCGGGGTCCCCAGGGAAAGTGGCGAGCCTTCTGGCTTGAGCCACTGTCGTCTTCTGTGATGAATTGTACATAGGATGCTGCCTGCGTGGGTCCGACCCACTGCTGGCTGGGCCCCCCATCACCCCCATCTCTCACACCAGCAAACCGGGAAGCCGAGCAGCTGCCTGCCCAAGGTTCCCTGCAGCCCGGTGGCCTCTCCGGCCCCGGTGTCAATGGAAGGCGGCTCTCAGACGCCAGGCCCCGGGACTGTGTGGGCTGGGCCTGCACCTCCTCGAGCCCTGGCTTCCTCTGCCCCCTGGCTGCCACTGCACTGGGCCACGGCTACTGGCAGCTGGACCTGGTGCGGGCGGCACTTTTCATCCACCTGCTGTCACCTGGACACTAGCTCCCCAGTGTTCTGGACACCGGGTCCCCTGAGCTGTGGACGGGGTGCTCCTGAGGCCCTTCCCTTGGCCTGTGCCCTGCCCCCTGCTGCCAGCTGCCACTTGGTTTTCGGGTTCACACTCCCCTACCCTCCAATATCACCCTGCCCTGTGCCAGGGGTGCCCTCTCTCTCCGGTGGCTCCTTGCCCAGGCATCCCCATTTTCATGGTTCTCATGATGGGCCAGGAACACGGGGAGGCTGAGCAGACCCCCGGCTGAGCCGCACATGCCCCCCTCACTGCATGGGTAGCACCGGGTCACGCCTTGGCCTCCGGTCCGCCGTGTCCCCTGGAGCCCCGCCCCACCCTCACTCACTGTGGACAGAGCTGCACGGCTGGGACAGGAGTTCTGCCCTCCCGGGAAGGAATCTGACCTGGCTCTGGCGGGAATTTGCTGAGTGACCTTCGCTCAGCCTCTCTCTGCCCCTGGTGCACAGTGCGGGCCCAGTGGTGCTCTCAGCCGTGTGTGTGTGTGTGTGTGTGTGTGTGTGGTGGACGCCATCGGCTGCTGCCTGCCTGTGCTCTCAGCACTGCAGCCAATGGCGTCACCTGCAGGGGGCTGGGGGGCTGGACCCATGCCACGTTCTGCTGCCTCTTCCGGTGGACCGACCCCCCTGCCCCGACCGAGGTAGGGTCGGGGCACAAGGAGCTCCTTGTGGGCTCTGAGGGTCAGATGAGACCATCGGTATAAATGGCCGAGTATACACTGTCAGGTGTGGTGTGTGTCTCCAAGTTTGTGTTTGAGGAGAAGGAGGCCCAGAGGGGTAGGCGATCCATGGCTCCCCGCCTGTGAGACCCCGGGGCCTGGGGGCAGACAGGGCCGGTTGATGCTGCTGGGAGGCCCTGGTGTCCACTCGCTTCTTGCCCATCCTCCGACTTCCCTGTTCCGGCAGCACTGGGGGTTGCCGCAGCCTCCTGAGGCCCCGGGGTCTTGTCTTTGCATCAGGGAGCCTCGTCCAGGCCCTTGTGAGGGACGGGGGGCCAGGACCCAGCTGTTCCCACTGTCCATTTGCCATTGGGGCGACACTCTCAGGGGAAAGGCGTGCAGCCCTCATTCCCAGGGAGCCGAGGGGGCCCTGCTGATGGCCGCAGGCACGTCCCTCCTGCCCTGGGCATGACAGGGAGCCATGGGCTCTTTCTGGAAGGAACTTGCCATCAGGTCAGGTGGTGAGCTCCCTGTCATGGGGGGTGTGCACTTGGAGCAGGGTGAGCAGCCTTGGTCATGGCACTGTGTGATCACTGCCCAGGTGGGCAGCGAGCTAGTAGACAGAGGCCCTGATCTGGTCTTGCAGTCCAATGAGCCAGAGCAGCTTGAGGGCCCTGAGTCCATTTCAGTGGGAGCCATGTCTGGGAGCCCCTTCGCCATGTTTGGTTCAGGTTGGCTTTGCCACAACTGACAATAAGCAATAAGGAAGGTCTGCTGGTTCCTGCTGACCCCGCAGCTGACCCTGGGAGGGCAGCCTCACAGGGATCCTCCCCTCTGGAGGGAGGCGACCCTGCCCTGGGCCGCCGTGGCTCCCGGGGCAGAGTTCCTGCCAGAGCCCTCCTGCCTGCCATCTGGGCAGGACCAGCCGGTGCAGAGACCCTCCTGTGCCCCCTGCCCGTGTCCCCATGCCAGCATGGCGTGGGGTGGCTTTCTAGGGCAGGACTATGCCTGTGACCGTCACCTTGCTAATGTCATCAGCTGCGGGAAAGCTGCTACAGCCACTCTGCCTGACTCCACACTAGGTCCGTTTGCAGCTGCGGGGTGGGGAGGCCGCAGGCTGGGGAGCCCCAAGGGGGCCTCAGCACAGGGGTCGCCAGGGGCCAGCCAGGGGAACCCCAGCTCTGCCACTAAAGGGGGGTGTGTGGGGTGACACTGGGTGACCCTCCTCCCTTCCGGAGCCTTAGCTCTGAGAGCTCACGGTGGGCAGGGGTGTCGGTGAGCTTGGTGTCCTTTCGTAAAGGTCCCCTTCATTTCTGAACCCCCTGCTTCTAGATCCTGAAGCCACGGGGCCACCTGCCCTGGGGCTCCAGTTCCCACTGTGACAGAGGCCACCCTTCCAGCCTCACCCCCAGGTGTGAAGCCTGCCTGGGACCGCAGCCCACTGGGCACATTTTCTAGGGTGGCATGTTTTTATCCAGAGGTGGTCAGCTCTACACATCAGTGTTTAAAAAGTGACCTTCCACTTTTTTTTTTTCCTTGAAAACTTGAGAGGAAACAAAGTACTACTGATTTTCTTTTTTAACAACGCATGACTACAGAGCGGGAGAGGTGTGTATTTTTCACCGTGCGGGAAGGGTCTGCTGCTTTCTGGAACTGGCTGGACCGCCTGGTTCCTGTCCCCGCGCCCTATTTTCTGTAGGATGTGTCCCGAGAACTGGGGCCAGCCCCTCGGCTCCAGCCCATTTCTACCTTCTATCGAACCCCTTTGATATGGGGGAAGAGCGAAAGAAATAGAACTTTTTGATAGTGTGGTAAAAACATTGAGCTATTTTAGTACGAGGTAACAGAAGAGTGTGACGGTGTATACTTTGCGCTAGATAAATAAAGGCTCTTTGCAGGCCTCCGTGGTGGGTGTGCAGCGCCTGTTTGTCTCAGGGGGCTGGGGGGCAGGGCCACCGGGCAGAGGGCTGCACCTTGGGAGGGTGGCAGCAGGGCGTGCAGTGGTGCCCCGTGGTGTGGGTGGCTCAGACCCCATCCTGCTGCTCCAGGGGCCTCTGCACAGCCACAGGCCAGAAACAGGGTTTTGAGCTCAAACCCTCATCTAACCCAGGAACCAGATCTGTGCAGGCTTTTCAGCACCTCCAGTGGGGTCAGAACCCCAGAGTCCCCCACAGAGCCTAGGCAGGCTCAGGGCGGAGGAGGCATGGCCCGGGAGACTTAGCCCAGCCCTCGGTGCAGCGGGGTTCCTGCCCCTGGGCTGCAGCAGGCCCGGGCCCGGCTTCCACCAGTAAACAGACAGATTTCAGAACTGCTTTTATTTGGGCAACTGACCGAAGGAGTCTCGTTTGTAACCAAGATGGAATTCAGAGTATGTTGTTACATTCACACTTAAAAAATATATATCTCTATGTACAGGAATTTGCAGGTTGATGTAAACATACATTACTTTCCAAGCACTTCCCTCCCCTTCTTCCTGGAGGACAAACAAAAAAGCCATCCAACCAGGCAACCCCTTCAAAATTACTTTAATGCAAAGGATGTAATTAACTCTAAATCAAAATAGTGGTCCTTCCGACCGAGGGTCATGGGAGGGAACACAGAATGACAGCGATGACAACAGTGTGACTTCCGATGGGACAGGACTTTAAAACTGAGTATCCAGGAAAATTAGGCACTGATTTCTAGAAGGAAACTCACTCCTCACGGATGCTATTTCTTGAGCCAACGTGGCTGTTTACATTCTCACTAGCATCGAGTCACCCAGTGCAGGACTCTGCCCTCAGTGGACACCCACGGTCCCTTCCCCAGGTGGGGAGCACCGCCATGTCCCCCTCTACTGCGCCTGTCTAGCGTTATACAAGGTACCCTGCTGCTTACTCACTCCAACTACCCTTCAGGTTGATTAGAAAAACTAGTTTAAAAAAAAAGGTGGGGGAGGCATCAGGCTATCTCATCCAAGCCGCCCGGCCCAGCCCCCCAACCGGGGGCATGCCGGGTGGGGGGATGGGTGGGGGCACGGGTGGCTGTCCCCCAGGGGGGACAGATGGAGGTGGGTAGCTGGCCGGGGGCAGGCCCAGGCCTGGTGGAGGGTGAGGTGGGACAGCATGTGTGGGGGGCAGGCGTGGGGGTGGAGGCGGGAAGTTGGGATTGTAGGTGGGTGGAGGTGGAGGGTAGCCGGGAGTGGGGGGAGGGATGGCGGGCGGGGGGAAGGAGGTCGGGGGAGGGGGCACCGGTGGTGGGGGTGGGTTGGGGGGGTAGACGTGAGGGTGGTAGGGCAGGTGGGCCGGGGGGCCATAGGCTGGGGGCAGGGTGCCATAGGAGGGACCCTCGGTCTTCATCATGGACTGCAGGCTCTGGTAGCCCTCTCCGGACATGTAGGAGCTGTTGGTGGACATCCCGGTGATGTAGCTGGAAGGTGGTGGCGGTGGTGGCCGGTGTGGCAGTGGTGGCGGCTGGTGCACAGGGGCTGGGTGGGCTGGAGGAGGAATCTGGACTTTGGGGAGGTCACCGGCATCCACAGGGCCTGGCGGCTCGGCCTCGCCTAAGGCAGCTGAGAGGGGAGGCTTCCGGTCTGCAGTGGAGAGACCAGTCGGTGCCCCACACAGTGTGACCCCACCCCCACTACAGCACCAGAGCCCAAGATCCTCGGCAGCCCCGCCCAGAAGTGGGTCCAGGGCCCCTCGCCGGCAGGCCGGCTTTCCCGACGCTGACTAAACGCACTCTTCCCGGGCAGCTCTGCATCTGCGCACGTGAACATTCAAATACACTCGGGTGACAGTGCCCTCAACACACCTGGTTTGTGAAAACGGTTTTGGAAAGACCCTTGGGCGCCACTGTCTCTGACCTTTTGGCTCCAGAGCCTCCCTTCCACAACCTGTCCCCAGGACGCCCAAGCCTGCCCCTCGAAGAGGCAGGAGACAGCCGACTCTCAGCAGACACTGACCTGGTGGTGGGTGGGCCGGAGGCAGCGGAGGGTGAGTGGTCTCGATTTTGGGGATTTTAGGCGGTGGGGGATCTATGAAGAAAAATTACATTAAAAAGCACTCATACCTCTTCGTGTGAATAAACACGTCACAGCAAAACTGCTGGGGAATTTCTTTGGAGAAGAAGAGCAGATAAGAACAAAGCTTTAAGGGGAACTCGAGGAGGGTTCCGGCGACACCATCACTCACTAACCCTTTCACATAAAAGATCACGGCAAACACAGCCGTCTGCTCTCCTACCCCACCTTCAAAAGGAAAAGCAACCCCCCTGCCCTTTTCCACAAGACTGCCCTTCAGCAACCTCAGGCTGCAGACAAACCCCTGTGGGGAGTCCCCACCAACGGGGCACAAAAGCCCTCACCTTTTGTTCCCAGGGGACTGCCACCTTTTCATTCCCATGTAGGCACATTGTATTTTCTCACAGGCATTTGCTCCTGGTTGGCAGCTGGTCAGAAGCAGCACGTGACCTGGTACCACTGGGGAGCTGGAGGGGAATGCCCTTGCAGCCAAGAGGCTGGGACCACTTGGGGCAGAGGTCACAGGCCACCCTTCAGGGCTGAGCAGCTGCCTGGGACCAGCACCCACAGTGGTGGCGCCAAGTCACCCAGACAGGCCACACCAAGTCCAGTAGCTGTTTACAGAGTGTGCCACACGACCGGAAAAGAAACCAGGCTTTCTGTTTGTTTGCATGCTTCGGCCCTTCCTTCCTAACCCCGCTTAGCCTGCACAGCACTGACCCGATTCGCTCCGGCGTTGCCGGCCCCTTTCCTGGTTTCCTGTCTCACTCACAGGCTTACTGTCTTCCTAGGAGACCAAATGCCCCCTCTCTAGGCGGACGAACCTGAGCCTCTAGCTCTGCCTCTCCTCCAGAACTGGGGCCAGCAGCCAGCCCTCAGGGTGGCCCTCTCCATCCCCCGTAACTGGCGTCCTGCCCACACCCGGCAGTCAGCCAAGCTGGGGCTGGCCTGCAGGAACGTAAGGAGAGCGGCCCGCGTAACTTTACACTCTCCAGTAGCCACGTTCAAAAGAGGCAAAATTAATATTTAAACTGACATTAAAAATTTGGCCATTTCAACGTATAATCAACAAAACTTCATTAACAAAGTTTTTCACGTTCTTTTTCCTAATTCTCAGAGGTCCGGTGTGGGTTCCAGGCTGAGGTCACACGGCCACTTCGTCCGCTGCTCTGCCAGTGCTCTTGGCGCCCCCGCAGCTCATGGCAAGTGCTGCAGGGCTCAGCTCTGACCGCTTGCAGGCTGGGCCTGCCCCCCACCCCACGGCCACCAGCCTGCATCTGCACTCCCCAGGCCCCACGCAGATGCTGGCTCACTCCTCCCCACTCCTGACCACCTGACCGCTGCCGGGAGCTCCCCACGAGGACCTGGGAGGGTGCTGTGCTCCTGCTGCAAAGCCTCCCCGGGCTCCCACCGTCCAAGCTCTGTGCCTCCACTCGTGTCTCAGGCTCTGCTGGCTCACTTAGAGCCACAAAATTTGCTTGTACTGAATCATCATTCCCCTGAAGACCCTGAGAAAAATGTTGCTCACTGTGCCGGAAGCTCTCAACAACAGCTCAATAAATGGTGCACCACGCCCTCTACTGGGACCTGGCAGCACAGACCCGGAGACAGAGGACAGGCCGGCGCCTTCCCAGAGCCCGCAGGACCGGGCCAAGGACAGACCCGCTGCTCCCCTTGCTCTCTGCTGCTGACACGGGAACGAGGACACCAACCGTGGGCCCCAGCACACGTGCTAATACAAAGGGAGGTGTCGGCACCCCGTGGCCCCTTCTCCACACGGCCCTGCAGCTCGCTGTGCAGCGTGGGGACACCAGGGCCCCGTGCGCTCTGCACCGCGGCCCACTTCACGCCTATAACAATGAACACTGCCCGGCTCTCCTACACTCACAGTTACATCTCCCACACGCGACTCAGTACGGTGCTGTTGACACCTCTCACCGGAATGTAACCTACACACAGACTAGTGATAAGCAGAGAGACTGCACCACTCTGGCCGGCAGGGCCACTTCTGTGAAAAGCTCTAACGTTAATTTTCTAAAAAAGCATTCTATTTGTTTATTTTCATTTTATATTTATTTTAGAGGAGAAGAGAAGAAAATAGGGAGAGAAATATCAACATCTGGTTGCCTCTCGTGCGTCCCCTGCTGGGAACTGGCCTGTCACCGAGGCATGTGCCCTGACTGGGAATCGAACCGAAATCCTTTGGTTCCCAGTGCTCAATCCACTGAGCTACACCAGCCAGGGCTTATTTATTTATTTTTAGAGAGAGAGGAAGGGAGAGAGAAAAAGAGGGAGAGAAACATCAGTATGTGTTTGCCTCGCATGTGTCCTCTCCTGGGGACCTGGACCACAGCCCAGGCATGTATGTGCCCTGACTAGGAATCGAACTGGCAACCCTTTGCTTTGCAGGCCAGCACTCGATCCACTGAAGTCTACCTGCCAGGGCCTAGGGTAAATTTTAAGGCCAAATGGAAACAGTATTCACTAAAAATTTAAGGTTCTGATAAGCAAAAATATAAAACTAAAGAACAGAACAGGAAATTACCTGCTGCTTTGCTCTCTTCTTTGGGAGAAACCACCTGTTACAAGAGAGAACGACACCGTTAACCGGGACCCTGGGAACAGTGAGGAACCGATGCAGGCATGACGTCACAGTGAGGAGGCGTGGCCTCAGACACAACCTCACCAGACAGGCGCACGGCCACCGGGGAGTGCTGTCCCTCCCCTCCCCGAGTCAGAGACACTGCCCTCTCTCAGCTCTGAGAGCCCTGAGCTCCGGGCCCCAAGTGTGGTGGGCGGAGTGAGTTGGCGCGTCTTCCTCTGGGGATCAGGGAACAGCAAACCCCCTGCCTGCTGGCCAGGCTGCTTCCCCACTCCCCGGGGGAACTTCCACAAATACTGTCACTTGAAGAACTGAACACTCCAGAGCCGGAGGAACTGGGGACAGCCACTCCGGCAGGCCGAAGACGTACAGCGACGCCCCGGCAGGGTCAGGGCCCAGTCAGAGCTGACACAGGGAGAGGCAGCTGGAGGAGCGGGGCAGAGCCTCCCCTCTGACCACTATGTCTGCCAGGGAGGTCAAGTGCATCACCCCCGCTTTCGGTGCTCTGTGTGACCCCCGAGAAACAGGACATGCTCAGGCAGGGTGCTGCCCCCGTAGCTGGCCACACCCAGTGCCAGTGCAGCCACTCACCGTGGCCCGTTTCGCCTGGCGGGGCGGACTCGGCTGTGGGGATGGTTTCTTGGGCTGCTGGGCTTGCTGTGGCGGCGGCGGCGGCTGGGCTGATGGCTGCGGGTCCTTCTGTGGGGGCTGCGGCGGTTCGGAGCCTTGGGCCGACTGGGACGGTGGCACTGGTGGCACTTGTGGTGTCGATGGGAGTGAAGGGGGCTGCGGCAGCTGATGAGGTGTGTGATGAGGCATCTGTTGTTTTCCTTGTGAGTAAAGATCCAGGATTTGGTGGCAAATGTCTAAATGATAGGTGATAATCACATTTACTATAAACTGATATTTCAAGTAAAGTTTTACCTAGAAAAAAATCAGCCCACTTCCCTCTGAGCCCCCCACTACTCTACAAAGACCCACAGGTGGGACTCGCTTTTGTGGTTCGCCCGCCTCCGCTGTGCACAGGCCTGGGGGTCTGTCTCTCTAGGCCCCACAACCCGTGTGCTCGGACAAGGTGAATGTCAGGTCTGAGGACCCTTCCGCAGGACGGCTCACACGGGCCCGTGTGGGAAACCCGTGCCAGGGCTCCTGCCCTCAGACGACACCGTCTGAACGCGGACGAAACGCCCTCACAGAATGCTTGGCGTGCCCAGTACCTTCCAGGACATCCACAGGGACATCTTGGACAAACTGCTCCCACCACCTCCGATACATGGGTTTGGAGGTCCATTCTTGTATTTCGAATTTGCACAAACGTCCCGCAAGATACATCACCGCCACTGCTATGATCTCTGGTTCCCACTGCAGTGACAAGGTCGTGCAGAGACTGGGTCAACGAGAGAGAGGGGATTGAGTCGGATGAGCAAGAACCAGTGATCAAGTCAAGGCTTGGCAACGAGGAGCTGCATCTGACCGTCCACTTGCGTATTCTTCTCTAAACGTGTCAAATAAGGCATCGTACATACATAAAAGAGGCAAGTTCCTAGTCTTCCTGAAGTACCCAAATGAGTAGTAACTTCACCCACGGTTACTGATTCATTCCCTAAAGAGCCAAAGGAGTACCAGCACCTTCAGGAATTGCCACGGTGCACACAGGTGAAAACGGTTTCTGGTCCCCCAAGCCACGGGAGCCCTGGCCGCTGGCCTCTTAGAGGCTCCTCACGGCTTCCCCCTGGGCTAGGGATGTCAAGGCTCTAAGCCAGCACTCCAAACGGCACCCTCTCCACCCCCCACCAAAGACCAAACGGGTTCTAAGTGACAGCTGTCAGATTCCTCCAGTGCTTCGTTTTGGACTCGTGTTTCCAGTCAGGGGTGCGAGTCTGCTTCCTCCACCACGACACTGGGGTGGCCCTGCTGCTGGGGGCCGGTGGTCTGGACTGTGGCCTCCGCCCCGCCACTAACTGGCTCTTCAAGATGGTTCCGGTCAGTTCTATGCGAAGTGAGGAGTCTGGGTAAAATGCCACAGAAAGCCCTTGCACGTTTAAAACGCTGTAATTGTACACTATTCTTTCTGGGATCATTTCTATAGTCTGTCAAAACTTCACAATTAAACCAGCATTTAAACAAACATACCTGTCATTTACAAATGTCCATGCCATCTGAACCAGCTTTTGGATTTTGTTTTTATCTCCTAGGAGTGAGGAAAAAAGGTGAATCAGTAGAGAAGATGAGAAGCAGGAGCACAGCAGCAACCGAGCAGTCACGAAAAGCCCAGGGCACCCTGGGCACCACCCCAACACACAGACAGCAAAGGGCTTCCCCGTCTGTGGGAAACCTGGCCCCAAGCCTGATCGTACCAGGCTGTTTAAGAAATTCTGACTTGTGTTGTATGAAAGGAGAGAAGGTTAGAAATTCCGACTCACTTTCCTGTTCCATATCATTCGGCAACAGGATGACAGAATCCGTTTATACATAAAAGGCAACTGTATTAACAGTCTCGACAGTGAACTGTCGGGGCAAGAAATGGCCCGGGCACTGTCCACACCGAGTTCTCTGCCTTCCTTTCCGGAGAAGCATAATCCCAGTGACACCAAGCAATTACAAAGACTCGGTTTCAGAACAGAGAAGTTCTTTTAGTCAGTCTTCCTTACCTTTGAGCTGTTTTGCATATTTGAGCAGGAACTGGTATGGATGTTCTACCTGTAGGTCAAACTTTATGGTCTGCAGCAAGATTCTCTCCAAAACCATTACTTCTTCCTAGAAACAAAGCAAATGCCGCACCAGTAGTTTCATTCAGAAGTCTAGAACGACACTTAAAAAGTGAGTCTTCCTATTTATTTTCAAGTTATTAACAACCATTTTTTGTTCCCTTTCTCTTCTCTTCCACTCAGGCACAACATTAAGTTCTGAAAAGAACTAGATGAGAAAATAGCTAATTAAAAAAATACTGGAAACAAAATAGTCTAAGAAATGTTACGCTCCCCATCCACGCGAGCCCCCGTTCACAGCACAGACCTCTACTTCGCAGAGAGCACGGCTGGCACGTGAGTCCCCCACGGGCCTCCGTGGAAGCGCTGCCGCGCGTCCTCCAGGGACGCACGCCCTCCAGGGATGCACGCCAAGCACGCATGTAGCCAGCAGTTTCCCGCAAACGCGGGCAGTGAGCTGTGCCAGCTGAAAACGTGTCTGGGGGCCCAGCACCCCTGCTGAAGTTTTTTTTTCATTTCTGTGTTTAAATCTTTCATTCACCTAATAAGCTGTACCAGGGTCATTTACTGAGTACTTCATGATTAAACCACACCCTGAGTACCACGCACACCCACACATGGCAGCTTAGGCACCAGTGTCAGGGCACCCTTCCATGATGCTCCTCTGTTTCAAAAAAGGTTCTTATTTTTGCTTGTTTCTCTCCAAATTTCAGTACTATTTAACTATCACTGTAGAAAAGCAGGAAAGCTACTGATGTTCTGATTGGGAATTGCCTGAATTCACAAAACAACCTAGGAAAATGGACATTTTTAACTACATCGATTCTATCACAAATGTGTATTAAAACCTTCTCAGTCCTTTAGTAGTTTTAAAGAATCCCCACCCACAAATTTTTTTAATGAAGTTTATTCCAGAATATTTCATTTTACTGTAGTGTTGTACAAGGACTCTCCACTCTCTTCTAACTAGTCAGTGCCCGTAAACAAGTATTTCTCAAATTTGCCTCTGGATTCCTGGGCACCCGACTACCTGGCATTCGCAGACAGAGTGGACCACATAGGACACCCCGTGCGGGGTGAAGGAGAGCGAGCCCCGGGCCTGCGTCACAGGGGAAGGGCCCGACTGCGGGCGGAGGGGCCGGCAGCCTCGTGGCCCCAAACAGCACAGCAGGGCTGAGGGTTCTGTCTCCTGCGCCTTCTCTCCGGGAGGCTTTGTGAATCAGAGAGGCTTTCCCCCATTTTTGTCACGACCTGTCTTCCAGATGCTTCAACCTAGTTTTTACCAAGTGAGCCGGTCACCAGTCCAGGCTGCAGCTTGGGGCACCACACCGGGCCTCCTGTGCTCAACCGCTGGTCTGCAGGTCGGGGTGCGAACACCATTCCTCAGGAAACCTCGCCTTGGCCCCGCCTGGCCCCACCTGCTGGGGCCTCACCCACGTTCCCAGGGCCAGCGCCCCATCACACCTCCAAACAAGGGCATTAATCACAGCTCGCCCTCGGACAGCTTAACGAACACTGTGCTGAAACCTCTCCCACCACTCAACTGTGAAACCCAGGAGAGCAAAGTCCATGCCTGTCTCGCCACCTATTTAATGTCTAGTATCTAACACAGAGGCTGGAGCAAGTATTTGCTGAACACATGAAAAAATATGAGGAGGAGGGGGAACCACAGTTAATAAAGCAAAGCTAATCAAGGCAAAAAAGTTCTGCATGAATCACAATCTTATTTTTCTCAATAGCTTCAAATGCCTCCCCCAAACGACTGTCCCCTTGTCTGTCAAAGAAAATGTCCTCCCCATGCCTCCACCGCTCCAGACCCAGAGCCCCTGCCCGTCTGGGAGACTGCGCATATGGAGGAGCAGGTTGCCAAGCCCCACTGCCCAGCTGGGTCAGGCTGGGCCCTGGTTTAGCCTTCTAACTGGCAGGGCTGCTCCCTCTTCCTACCTTCTGGGGCCCCGGGGCTGCACAGCGCCAACCCCACCGCTCCCGCCCCAGGTACCGGTCTCCTGACTTGATGGTGTGGTGGGTGAGGCAGAAGGTAAGATGGGATGTCTCCAAAGGCCCTGACCCACACACACCAGCTACTTCCACGTGCCGGTGGCTCTGCCAGCACCATGCTCCTACTCTGTGAAGGCCAAATATGTGCGAGCATTGAAAACATGATCTTGTGGCTACACTTCTCGTCTAAAAGTGCATTTTCGATCATTGTTAGTATGAATTCCTAATAGGTTCGCATTTTTACAAACAGGTGAATGAATTAATAAGTAAGCTCAAGGCAGAGTTACCCACACCAACAATACTTACGAAATATTAGGATTAATCACAACCAGTGTTTGCAAAAGTGTTCTGGGCCTCTGCTAACTCCTCAAAGCAAGGAGGACGGACACATGGACGGACACACACACACACACACACCCTTATGTACACACATACAAATACTGCTTGGCGGAGGGAGGGTAGCTATCCAGGGAGGTGACGCCAGCTTGTTAGAAAAACAGGCCCACGCACGGCGCTGAATTTCGGCGTCTCGGTCAACTGTGCGTTAACTGTGCTTCTGCGTTTCTCCCCGCACCGTCGGTTTGCCCCTTATTTGGCGAGCACCAGTGCAGGCCTACGCTGTCCACCACCATGCTATGCAGCAGGCATGGTCTTTGCTCTCACAGATCTCACAGTTGAGAAGAGGGGAGTTTGTCATGATTATGTGACTAAGTCTCATAATAGGCAGTGAGAGACGTTGTGAAGGACATTCAACACTAAGGGTTACACTGGGGACGGGACAAGAGTGGAGGCAGCAGAGAGTTGCCACTGGTCTGACAGTGGTCTCTTTAGAACACAACAATGGCACGGGGACAGGTACTTTAACGCCATTTCCGGGCAGGAGCTGGGGGGGGGGGAGGACAGGGAGGGAGGCACAACCTCCGTGAGTCTCCGAGCGTCTGAAAACACTGCAGTGCCAACACCTCCCACACTCTGGGGAGGCAGAAGATACAGGGCACAGCAGACGCATGTGCACACACATGCATCGGTACTTTTCGGCCACCTGGACACGGCCACCACCCTGAACCAAAGAAGCCACACTGCTTCTGGCTCTGGAAGCACAGCCAGTTGCGGGAGGACACTGTGCATCCCCAGTAAGTGAACTCCCAGCCCCACAGTGCTCGGAACGTGACGCGGCACACCAGCAAGTGCCACTGAAGTGCAGGCTGCACGCCGCCCCCACCTCTCCGATGGAAGCAGGAAGCACCTTCCGCCCCAGTTCTCGTGGGGACTCAGGGCCGGCAGGTACAGGAGCCCCAGCTGCTGTCAGCAAGGACCTTTGTGCAAAGAGGTAGGATTTAAAGGCAGGACGTGCTGATCCTTACCTTTGGGTCATCTCCAAACTGGCCAAATTGTACATCATTTAGCAAACTGCGAGCTGTTTTGATGATATCTTTACATTTTTTGGGTGTTTCTTCTACTTTCCCAGCCAGAAAGAGACAACAAGCTCCCGTGACCTAAAAGAAGGACAGACGCTCCTGAGAAGCTGCTACTAAAGGCCACATAGAAACACGAGCGTGGACTTCCGCCCTCCCCGCAAACCGGTTCCTTCCTGCTCCCACGCCCCTTTCCATTCACAAGAACTCAGACACCCTGAAAGTGCAAAGGAGATCTCCCACCCCCAACCGGGCTCCATAAATTATTTTAAATTTAATTTTCTGAAGAACATGTTATGCAACCAAAGTAGCTGCCAGAGGGGAAAAGCCACAGACCCCAATGTCCTTTCCACGTGGCGATCCGACAGACTCACTCCCTGGAGAGCTAGCACTCCTGAACATGCGCTCTGGACTCTAGCCGGTCTCCGTGCCCGCCACTCCCTCCAGGCGCCCAGACCCCAGTCCAGTCCCACATTACTGAGGGGGTCTCACCGCTCAGCCTTTTGCTTTTCCCTGCCTACCCTCTTGGCTCCTGCACATCCCTCCCTCCACAGAAGCCTGACTGTCGGTGTCACAGACTGTGCCAGGGGTCCGATGTGGGTTCTCACGCAATCACCTTCCTCATGCGTAAAACTCAGTAAAACCTGAGCACAAGGAAGAACCCCTGACAAACGGCTTCCTGTTGAGTCCATCGCCTTCTTCACAGAGCCCTTCAGACACTTGGGTCCGCCCATGGAAGCCAATGCCCTCGTCTGGAATTCAGTCTGCCTTTCCGCACGGACCCCACCTAGGCTGACATGGCTACGCACGCCCTCCGTGTGTGTCATGCTAGCTTCTGCTGGACGACTGCTTGCTCCCACCTGAGCATGCCCGAGGCCTGCTTACCACCAGGGCTCACCTGGCTGGGGCACCTGCTCCGTGGCACACCCCCCGACCCCTCCGTGGCACAACTGACCTTTCCCTTGAATGCCACAGCCTCCCCTGCACCTCTCCCATGGCCTCACTCTCAACCACGTGCTTTTGCACATGGCACACCATCTGTTCTGGACTCAAAGCTGCAGAGGCAAGTTCCCATCCGGATTTCCCACAAAGCAGGAGACCTAGTGCCTGTTTAAGGAGTAACTACAGACTGAGCGATACGGCCTAAAAAACTTCTATTTCTTCTTGGCCTTTGTTGGGTCTCTATTATAAGCACACATTTATCTTGGCAAAGGTAATCACACAAAGTACAATATAACTGTGGTTCACACTGGTCTAAATAAAAAAAGATCTGAATGTGGTTAATTAACAACAACAAAACAAAGTTCGAACTTGATTTTGTTTATACATAGTATAGTATATACTAGGCAGAAATACTTACCAGAAATACAAAAAGAGGTTATAATCGGCTCACTGAACTGTGTGGAAATAATTACATATGACAGAACATTACAATAAAACTCAAATACTTACGTATCTCGGGAACTGCTTGAAGGAATGAAACATATAGAAGCGATGAAAATAAATTATTCCAGTTGCCAAGGTATCATAGTGCCTGTTATTCTGGTTAAGGACTTTAGCCAAAAATTTTCATAGGTTATGTTTAGTTAAATGTGGAGAAACTCAAGCCAAACAGCAGCAACAAAATCAGCGGGAAACCGAACACTGTCAGTGGCAAAGCAGGCAGACGGGAGCCCTGGCATCAGGACTCCGGTCCAGGACTCAGCAGGGCCAGTCTACCCTATGACAAGGCCGGGTCTGGGTGCCCCTGAACACCCCAACTGTGGTCCCTGGGAGCTCTTCTCCTCCTGGTGGCCACCTGCCCCATGACTAAGCCTACACATTTACATGAAAAACAGGAGACAGAAAGCCCTGGATGAGCCACACGAGTCAGAATAACAGCTAGACCAGACATTCAAGAGGCACTCGAGTGCAGTGACACTGTTACATATTTAACCTACTGAGTCTAATCTACTTCTCGGTGGTGGAGGGGGGAGCCTGTCTGTGACAGACACGAGAGGCAAGGATGCAGGCCCAGGCGCGTGCCCACGTCGAAGATGAAGCGAGCACCCTCCCGGCGGTAGCGGGCCTCGGTGGCCGGGTCGAGCCCTTCCAGCTGCGAGGGCGTGTGAGCCAGGTCTTTCTTATCCCAGTACCAGCATGGCTTTGTGTGGTCCAGGTTCGCTGAGGTCACCGAAGGGCTTGCGTTTTCTTTATTCTCCTTCATTTATTGAAGCAGACTTGTTCTTTTCAAAAGGTTCTCTGACAGTGTTCGGATGCTGAGAGAGAGAGAAGCAGAGCAAGGTTGGAAAGGGATGCCCCACGTGGAGCCATCCTCATCACCATGGACAATCTACAACCAGATTGCACCAGATTTTGAATCGGAACTCCCCATGGAAACGACCCTGAAGATGGGCTGCTGGAAGCTCAGCTCATCTCCAAAGCCCACTGACCATGTCCACATGCACTGCTCCACGCCACTTCACGGAAGGGACTGGAGCGCCCGTGGATTCTGGTATCCAGGGGGGTCCTGGAACCAACCCCACACAAGCACCGAGGAACGCCTGTGCCGGAAGTGACCCCCAGTACGATAAATCCCAATGCTAGCAGCTGTTGAAAAGGAAGCAAGTTTCCACCTCACCGCCTTCACTAGGCCCAGCTCCCTCACGCTGACCTGTCTGGAGTCCGTTCTTCGCTAAAACCCAGCCTGTTCTAACACTGAGCGGACTTACACTCCCAAACTGGCCATCTCCCACCTAGCACCCAGTGAGATTTTCCTTTCTAGTTCACTTGATTTTACTTAGGTACTTCCACTTTAGAAAGCCACCAGACTGGATGAATTCACATCTGCACAAGTCACTGAACTGAGCGGTATATTATCAGGTGTGGGTGCAGTGACTTGGGGGGAAGCAGGTGGAGGGAGGTAAATGAAAGGAGTTGTTCTAAATTTTTCTTGCTTTCTCATCTGCTTCTCTTTTATTCAGAATGAAGAGATTCTCTAAAGGCTCCCTGTTGAGAAAAGAAAACAAAACACATGGACTCTCATTTGAGGTCACAGTAACATGAATCAGTTGAATCTGGGAACAGAAATTTTCAAAAAGGGCAGGGAAAGGTCCTGCCAGAGGTGCCAGGCCCACGACAAGTCTGACTGGCAAGGAAACAGCAGTGCGGCGGCCAGGCCCCGGGCAGGGCCTTCAGTCTGCCGGGAAGCCTGACTCTGGGAAAGCTGACACGGCAGGCGGGGTGCTGTCCTCCTGCGCGCACTTGGGGCTCTAGAGAGCCCCGGGTGTTTCCTCCAACAGGAAGAATTAAGGACCTGAAGGAAAGCAGTCCTGTGAACTGACCTACACTAGTGTGTGTGACCAACTCAGGGCAGGCTTGGTAACTGAAGCCTCAGTGAGTAGGAGGAGTTCAGACTTAGGTGTCTCAAGATACCTTCTCTCACCTACAGATCAGCAAAGATGCTCAAAGTTTCACCACACACCCTTGGCAAGGCCAAGGAGAAGCAGGCCGGCTCACGGACGGCTGGTGGGAGTGCCACAGGGCACAACTCTCACGGGGGCTCTGGCAGTACCTAACAAGGTGACATGGTCATCAGGGCTCTGCTTTGGCAGCCCACTTCCAGGAATCTGCTCTGAAAATGCCACCGCAAATATGAAACAATGTATGCACACGATTATTCACCAGAGTGTTATGTATAATAGCAGGCACTGTAAACAACCCAAATGTCCATCAACGGGGCACTGGCTGAATAAAATATGGCACATTAACACAACGCATACCATGGACTGTTAACGAGAGGGAGAAAGCGCTCTGAGTGCTGATACGGATACATTCCCAGGATCAGCCAAAGGCAGGAGGGTAGCCTGCACAGTATGTTGCTATCTAGGTTAAGAGAGGAGACGAAGTAAGAATAGACATCTGTGTTTTTTTAGACTAATAAAAATAATGGCTGCCAATAGGGCTTGGGAACAAGATGGGAACACTGGGAACAAGACTTCTCTGATGTATCTTTTTCTATAGTTCTGACTTTAAAAAAACCTTATTTTAAAATAATTATATACTTACAGACAAATTATAAAAATAGCACAGAGACTTCTTATATACTCTTCACCCAGCTTCCCTTAATGGTAACATCGTACATAACATCATACACTGATCAAAACTAAGAAATTAATTTCAGTACATTATTAAATAAACTACAGCCTTGACTCAAATTCAAGTTTTTCCAAAAATCCCTTTTCTGTTCTAGGATCTTAACCAGGATGCTACATGGCATTTAGGTGTTACCATTCTCTAGGCACCCACTGGTATGTGACTGTCTCTCAGTCCTTCCTTGCCCTTGACTGAGGTTTCCCAGAGGCCTTCCCAAGAAGACACTTGGCGTTCTGAGGAAGAATGCCGGAGGCGAAGCGCCCTTCCCATCCCACTGCACCAGGAGGACGTCCTACTGCTGGCCTTAACCGTGAGCATTTGGTTAAGAGGAGATCTGCCAGGTTTCTCAGCGTAAGTTACTGTTTTCCTTTTCTTTTTTCTATTCCTGAGTGAGTTGTGAAATACAGCCCACGCTCGAGGGGCAGGGAATGAAACTCTACCTCCTGGAAGGAGGGGTAGAAAGAATGGGTGGACAAATGATAAAACCACCAGTGATTAGTAATCATTTGGGGGCAACTATTTTGCAATGCAAAATACTACGCCAAATACCTGCTTCTCTTTAAAGTTTCACCCATTAATTTTAGCATTTATCTCTGGAGCGTGGCTGCGGCCAGTATTACTAGGGTGTTCTGATGGCGATTTTCCATTTAACGATGAAAGAGTCCCAGCCCATAGGGAGACAGACCACAGATACTTTCAAGTCTGTTTTGCCTTGCTGTCCTTGACCAAACCCCATGCTAATAATCCAGTTAGTGTAGGTGCCTTTAGAGTCCAGGGCAGACTGACAGTCCATGAGACGCGGTAAAAATAAATGTACACAAACAGAATAGAAACAGTCCTCTGAACCATACACCGCCTGAAAAAGTTCTTGCCTCGTCCTGTAACTCTGTTCCCTATTACTCTTCAATTATTTTTTGGCCCTAAAGTCGTTAAGTGTTCTCATTAGCTGTTCATGATTACCTTGAAGGACTAAGAGATTTATGAGGTCCATGAAGGAAAAATCTCTCATGAACAAGCAGCACATCAAGGAATTCTAGCAACATCTTTCAAGAATGTGACTTAGATATTTAATTTTATGTGATGAAAGATTCAATTCATTTTTTTAAAAAATATTTTTAATTTATTTATCTTTAGAGGGAAAAGGAAGGAGAGAGGGAGAGAAGTATCAATGTACGGTTGCCTCTCGTGAGTCCCCTCCTGGGAACTGGCCTACAACCCAGGCATGTGTCTTGACTGGGAATTGAACCATGATCCTTTGGTTCATAGGTCCGCACTCAATCCACTGAGCTACACCAGCCAGGGCTCAATTATTCTGTCCTCAGAATTATGAGGACACTTACAAGTCGGAGACAATAGTAAAGTTCACTACTCAACTTATTCTCATAGTACAGCAATGCCCTCTAAACGGTGGCATTTACTCACTCACTAGCCTTCATTTGGCCACTTCCATTAAGGGGACCTTAGCAGATCACTAGCCTTGATCACCAAAGCAGCCCATAGCCTTGCTGAGTATCAGCACCTGGTGTTCACACTACCAGCAATCCTTGTGTTAATTATGAACTGATTCCGATCTGTTCTGTTCATTCCCTAGCTCTGGTGCATAATGGCACAGAATAACGAGTGAATGAACTCTACCTTTCAACAACTCTCTGTAGTTCCTACTCAGCTCCTTGAAAAGACCTCTCTCTTGTCTACTGACTGCCTTCCAAGTTCATGAAGACAGTTTTTATATTCCGTTCTCTTCTTCAGGGCAAACATCCCATTTACTAGATTTGGTTTTAAGTGTTTCAAGATTGCCCCTAAACATTAGCAAAATGAAAAACACTACCCTTTATATGACTGGTGTAGTACATGGGGGATGGCAGGTGTCTACAATAATAATACACAACACATCCAGTAAGAGGCTACTCAGTTGCTGCATGCCTGCAAGCTGCTTCTTTATCCTCACAACCCACCACTGAGAAAATGGAGTTAATGAGACAGGAAGCAACTTGCCCCACGCACACCACTGCCAAGTGGCAGAGCCACAGTTTGTCATTAGATTTCGATACTGCCTTTCCTCAACGTGGACACGACCTTGCTTCTGTAATGGCAACAGTACGGCCATTTCTGTCAAGTTGGCCTTCCTCATTTACAACTGGGACAACTGGGTTTCTGTCAATTTAATCTTTGCTGGTGAACCTGCATCTTGTTAGCCTGGGCCAATTCTTTCAGCCTCTAAGACCTCTTTGAACCCTGAGTGTCATCTCACATGCTAGCTCACCCCAAGTTTTGAGTGCATTTATTAATTTGAGAAGCATGCCTCTTACACACTGAAGTTGTGTAATCAGCCCTGGACGGGTAGCTCACTTGGTCGGAGCATCATCTAGTATACCAAAAGGCAGTGGGTTCAAGCTCCTGTCTGGGTATCTACCAGAGGCAATGGAATGTCACGTTGATCTCTTTCTCCCTCCTCCTCTCTCCCAACAGCCAATAAACATATCCTTGGGCCAGGGTTTAAAAAACAAAGTGCTAATCAGAGTAAGAGCAAGACCAGAGACCTGAAATCTATGTCTAAAGACCTCTCATCATTCAAGCTGACATCAATTCATTAATCAACACTCCAGACTTGGTAATTTGAATGGATATAAATCCACCTAATTAGACCTCATCCACTGTACACCAGTGTCGACTAGGACAGGAAGATACTATGTTTAGAGTCCTAAGGAAACCTAAACAGACGCATCCCTCGTCCAGCACCAATCTAATAAACTTAAAAGAAGGATTACCATCTGTGTCACCCAGCTTTATTGAAAACTGAAACTCTGCTGGTTTGAGAGAACCAGCTCTCCATTCCCAAGTGCTCAAAAACTCCCTTCTTGCTCTTCCAAGAAGATCCTCAAACCGATTAACAAGTTCTAGCATCACAGAGCCATCTACTTAGTCTGCAAAAACTGAGGCCTCTATCCGAGTCCAGGTTTCTATCATTAATGGCACTTTTAGGATCCCAGTGATTTTACACAGTCCTATCTGCAAGCTCTCTGGCAGAGAATTTTATCAGAGACTAAATAAACAAATGAGATTTAATCCAAGAATGGATTAATGGATAATGAGAAGATTAGGTCTTCTTTACCATCTCCTCAATTACCATGCATCTAACTCCTCTAGACTTTGTTTGACCCTATTCGGTTTAGAAGGCAGACAAAAAACATTTTTCTTTCTCCTAGACACTCAGTGAACTCACTGCTTTCAAACAAGTTCTTGAAATGAACCACTCATGCGCTGCTTAATAAGAATGGGAACACGTTCTGAGCCATATTTCACGAGAGAATCATCACTGGGCGAACATCACGGGGGCACTTACATGAACCTAGACGATATTGCCCACTACAGCTAGGCTACAAGCCTGTAGAATATATTCTGTACTGAACGACACAAGAGTGAATCAGGTGCAAGAAAAAAGGATCTGATCGCAGAAGTGACCTTTCCTTATACCTTTTCAGACTTCAGAGTCGGTATATCCAGGCGTGGAACGACACCAGAGTTTCAGTCCTAACCAAGGTTGGGACCGAGCTTCGGCGAAGCAATGGGAAGACGTGGGTAGTCTGAGGTCGTGAGGCCAAGAGCGCGCGCGCGTGTTAAGATCCCTACCCCTTCTCCCCACCTGCTAAAAAGTCCCCCAAACCCTACCCGCTCTTCTCGGCGCGGGCCTCTCTCCTCCGTACCCGCACCTCAAAACCCTCTCCCAAAGCACGTCCCCCAGCCCCGCCACCTCCCGCTAACTTCGAGCTGCACTAGAGGAAGCGGAGGAAGGTGGGATCCGGGAAAAGGCTCCACCAGCGGATGGAGGCGTAGACCTTACTCTACTCGACTTTTAGGGAAGCGGTAGGTGGGTGGCGCCGCCACCGGTCCGTCGGTCACTCACTCGTCGCCTGAAGGAAGCCCCTTAGCGACGTCTGTCCTCGCCCACAGCAGCCATCTTGGACGTGGGAGGTCGGGGGATACGTCATCTCCCTGCGTCGGCGACGGAAAACAAGCGACGGGAAGCTCCTGCCAACCAATCAAAAAAAAAAGCAGAGCTCTCAAAGGAGGAAAGAACAGCCAGTCTTCTTCCGGCCCTCCACGCAGGAGGAGGAGCCGGTAAGAGGGCCCGCCCACCTGTCCTGGGGCAAAGGCAACTCTGAAGCAACCGAACGTGCTAACGGAACTTGGACGCGAGGCGGGCCCCGGGGAGGCTTCTTCCAATCAGCGCCCGGGCTTGCCACAGTTCCGCCAATTGTGGCTTCGGAGCTGACAGGGGCCGAGCCGGCCGTTTAGGTGCTGGGAACCGGTAGGCCCAATGGCTAGGGAGAAACCCGAGCGAAACGGTAGGGCGGTGGTGGGGCGGGACCGCGCCCTTGCGTTCAGCCACCGGCCAATGGGCGGTGGCGGCAGCAAGCCGGGGCGGGACATGGGGGCGGGCGGATCCGGGTTGGGCCGTGGCGGCGGGGCCGTCTCAGGCCGCCGACCCGCCCCTCCCGTCCGGCCGCAGCCGCCGCCGCCGCCGCCGCCTGGGGCTTGGTTGAGGCGGACGGTGGGTCTGGGCCGGAGCGTGGCACCAGTGTCGCTGCGCTGAGGGGTAAGTGGGCAGGTGAGTGCCGGCGGCGACCCCTCCGCACGCACAGTCCGGGGGACAGACCTATGCCGTCGCCCCCGAGTGGTAGGAGGCCGCCTGCCGCCGTCTCTCGGCCGAGGTCCGGGCCGCGCTCAACCGGCCGCACTTGGCCCGGGATGCGGGTGGTAGGTGTCCTGGGACCTGGAGGGGTGGGCTCGGTGCGGGGATCCTGGCGGGGTTGGAGGGCGCCGCTTGGCCTTTGCCCTCCGCGCATCCCGGGGCGAACTCGCTGTTTCCCCCACGTCTCTTACTGGCGTGTAACGCTCCCGTCCGTCCGCCCCGGAGATGGTGGCAGGTGCGGGGAGCGCCCGGCCCCTCTTCACCCGCCGGGTGGGGCCCAGGCCCCTCTCCGTCGCACTGGTCTGCTCCGCTCTGCGTGCGGCCGGCTCGCGCTCTCGCTTCCTTCCTTCCCGTCGTTACCCAGTCGGTTGGAGAAGGCGGTGTGGCTTTTATGTTCCGCTCTCCAAACCCCTGGTGCCCGCCGGGTGCCCGGGGACTAGGCTCCGCTTCTCTCACTCACATTCCAGTTATAAAAGCAGTCGTTGAAAATAGGTCATCTTTCTTCCCACGCGCCCTGGCTGTCTTCCACACGTTTCGAGCCCTACTAGGGAGAAGAATTCAGTGCTTTGGAGTTTGTCACTCCGGCATTAAAAACTCTTTCTCCTCGTGGCTCCAGCCTGGCGATGCAGTTCTGGCTCCCCGTTTCTAGTCTGGGAAAGGGAGGCGATTCATGTCGTGTGTCGGGCCACGCTGGCTGCGGGGGCCTCTCCCGAACCGTGTGTTGACACATTTAGGATTACTTGAAGGATATTGTTTTTGCTTTTCCAAATGAGGGCGGTGATGCTTCAAAAGCAGAAATACTTTAGAACTGTGTTGGTAGGTTAATTTTGCCTTGAAGCACCCCAGCTTGGTTGCGATGGTAATTACACAGCCTTGTGCGTTTGTCAAAGCTCAGAACTGGACACTGACACTTGTGAATTTTATCGTGTAAATGATATTATCCCCACCCCCCATTTTTCTTCTCAAAAGTGACCCGACTGGTACTTCAAAACTGAATTAACCAGTAATCTTGGAGAGGTTTTCCTTACTATTTTAAGTGAAAGCATTATACTCAAGAATATAGCAAAACCAAAGCAGCTTTCCTCGCTGCAGTTAATATTGTTCGGTACGACTTGCTTGAGCCGTGTTGCGTCTCTGCAGGCCACCAGGCCACCGTGCGTGCAGTCCTGCCTTACCAAATTAGTCCCTGGGGCTGCTGTGATGGATATTTTGGTCAAGTTCCAGCAGTTGAAGGAAGCGTTTTTCTCTGTCCCAAGAAAGTAGTTTGCAAAGCTGACTTCTCAAACTGCTACAAAATAGCCCCTTTATCAAGACCCCAGACATCCTCAGACTTCAGCCTTCTACCACCCCTGCCCCTGTGCTCTGCTTTCTCTCTGCATTCAAAATGTGCGTTCCCATCTGAAATGAAACCCCAGTCCGAACGAGTTGCTGAAATGGTCGCTGCTTCTCGTCTCTCCCGCATGCTGACGCCTGTCAGTGATCCCTGTGGAAGTGAACGTTTCTGTTCAGTCTGTCCATTCTGTTCAGGAGGAAGGAGCTCTTCAGGAGCTGCTCTTCCTGTGGCGAACATCTAGGCCCCATTTTAAGTGGTGATTAAACCTTGGCTTTAGAGGCTGCTGGAAAATGAGAAAACTGTGAAGGGAGTATGCAAATATTTTTCCATTCTGAAGCTCAACTGTCTGTGTTTTCAGAACAGCCTCCTCAGTACCTAGAGGGGAATGGAGGAGAGGACAGCTGGGGAAGGAGTGGCTATCTCTGCAGCCGGCTTGCGCCTAGATAACCACTGAGTTTAGAGAAAAGCAGGTATGCAGTTTGTGACGTGGGGAAGTTTAGTAGAGGTCTGAGTACAAATCTTATCTCCTAGCGCAGAGTTACTATTTTTTTAACTAGATACCAATTTAGTTTGAGGCATTTTAAGTCCCTTGAAATGTTTTAATTAACGTCTTTTTTTAAAATCACTAATCTAAGGTAGCATTTAGAAATGTAACTAATAATAGTGTCATTTTGTGCTTTGATGCATATCTTTCACTGGGAGGGTTTTTTATCTTTAGAAACTGGTTGGTCTGTTTGGAGCTGTGGTGCGCTGTTGCTTCGGTGGGGGGCGGGGAGGAAGAGTTTCAAGTGTGCTTCCTCCTAGCACCTGAGTCCTGGGGCTGGAGCCTGGATTTTGTTCCCTCACAGAGGCCTGGCAGTCATTTACTGCAGTGGCACTCAACCCTCGCGAAGAACTGTATCTTTATTCCTCTGTTGTTTTAGAAGTTGCTGGTGGTTGGTTATTTGTGTTCTCAGTCAGCGAGCATTCTGTGGGGGCCTACATTTTGATTGGCTGCGCGTCCTTTTCTTCTCGCAGTTGTGGTGGAAGCGCTCACCGTGGATGTCTGGGCGCTCCGAGTCAGACTCGGAGCCAGCTAAGAGCATTAGGCTAAGGACGCCTTGCTCTTATGTTTTTTAGTTTTCACTATTGTTGCATTTACAGGTGTATCTTACCTGGCAGAATTGACTTTTGTACATTGGGTTTCTTTATATCATCTTGTATTTTTCTATTTATAAAGCCGGTGATTTGTAAATATAATTAATTGCTATGTTTATTCTCAAAGTAAAAATAACTTTCTAACAAAATATTAGTATATACAATTTCCTATTACACCCAAGTTTCTTTACATGCACAAATATTAATACACACAATTTTCTATTACAAAGGAGTTGAGACTTTTCTGTTTTAAGTTACTTAGTAGGCTTAAGGAGAAAAGTGTAATCAGCACAATTGGCAAGATTAGAAGCCAATTGCTTTTTGTTGTTAACTTCACTCCGTAACCCACGCCCGAGATTAGCTGGGCAGGCAGATTTCTAGGTGGGGAGTTTCCTCCAGGTTTTGTAAATAAACAGATTGTAAAACAAGAGGTACAAACACAGGCATTGACAATTTTCAACTGAAATACATTTGATTGAAAGAAAAATGATACCAAATGATCATAAAATGCAAATATCAAAGTTAAGACTTTGAAATTCTTCCTTATTTAAGAAGAAAAGTTAATTAATAATCAAGATAAGTCTAAACACTCTCAGCTGGCAATGGAAGACTAGTCTGACTCTGAAGTTAAAGTTCTGGAGGGGTCCGAGGTGTACTGTTTACCAAACTAAAGTAAAATTTACACGCTCAGGCCCCGTAGTGGGGGTCCAGAGGGGGCTGAGGGCAGAGGGGCCAGCCATAAGAATGCTTTCCCTGTTTTTTTTTTGTTTGTTTGTTTTGCTTTGTTTTGAAGAACTGAAGAGTTGTCTGGAGAATGTAGATAATCAGGTGTCTCCATAGGATTCTTCATAGATGTGCAATGTTTTAGGCATATTACCTATATACGATCCTGTGTTTCACTTTCCACTTTCTCTTAGGATACGATCCGTTAGAGCATAGCAAAGTCTACAAAATTGTGTGACTAAATGATTTTAAGGTTTCAATCTCAGTAAGCAAGCATGACTTCATGTCAGTAGTTTTCTGTTCAAGCACAGGTAAGAGAAAGTAGGATTCGTGTTGAAAAACAGTCATTAAAATTGCTTGTACCGTAACATAGTTTCTAATGACTAATAAAGTTCTTCATTTGTTGGTTGTAATGCTTTAGTATTGCTACAGGTCACGGTTACCCACGTGGTATCTGCAGTTTGCCCACTGCCCTGTGTCCCTGAAGGGAGCACATCTGAAAGGTTTTGTTGACTTTCAGATACTACACTTCAGTGAACAGTGTTTTTTCCTAAGTGGCTTTGTCCGCTTCCGGAAGTATGTCACGGAAGCGAGTTAAGTCTGGAGAAGAGAAGGCCGTGGAGGGCACAGAGAGCTGTCTTCGGAAATTCGAAGGGTGGTTTCTCTTTTAAAGGCAGAATTGAGACAAGCTGAAGAGGACAGTGAACTTTCTAGAAGGAGCAGCAGGCGCCCTCAGAACCTGGCGTGCTGCCCGCCTCCGCCACTTCAGCCTCAGGTGGTGCCCCTGTTAGGGACGGCAGGTCACCCCCGCCTCTCCGGAGGTTTTCCGACTGGAGTGTGACAGCGGAGAGCCAAGCGCTTCGAGAGCCGTAACTGCTGCGCCACACGGATGTAGTCATTCTAAGCATTCGCGGAGGCTGTGGTCAACCCAGGTGACTCCAAATGTCCCTTCCGAACCTGGAATCCCACAGTTCCAGGCTCCATGACGGGGATGCGGAGGTTTCGAGGTGGTTTCTTGACAGATTACAGCTATTCCTTCACAGTCAGCAGTTTTTTCTTTTCGATTAGGAAGATGTAATAGGACATGATTGTTCATGATACCACATGATTCTTTGCTTTATGAAAACTCTTTTTAAAATAGGATCCTCTTTTTTAAAAAAAGATTTTATTTATTTTTTAGAGAGTGGGGAAGGGAGGGAGAAAAGAGAGGAGAGAAACATCAGTGTGCCTTTCACATGCCCCAGTGGGGTCCCTGACTGGGAATCGTACTTGTGAATGCTTGGATCTTGGGATCATGTCCAACCCACTGAGCTACACCAGTCATGGCAATTTAAGTGTATTTACAGATTAATTCAACAGAAGTTTAAAACTAAAAGTATTACGTATTGAAAAGTCAATCAGAAATGGTTTAGGCATTTCTAAAATTGTGTAAATTAGTAGCAAATGGAAAAATATTGTGGAAGGCAAGAAACATCTGTACTTTTCTTTAAACCTCAATTTTGGGTATGTGTATATCTACAGCTGTCTGTGTGACAGCCCGAATTGTTCTGTATGAAGATTTAAGTTATACTTTCATGCAACCGATAGGTCTGCGTTTATCTTTGTAGTTGAGTAGCTCCCGAGTTGCAATGAATTCCACTTGCCTGCTTTCCTTGACTTCTTGGTACTTTTGAGTTGTGGCACATTGGACCTCTTTGATAGAGACTGGAATGGTGGGTGCTAGTTAACCACTTAAACTGGTCTAAATGAGTATGGCCTTACCTTACTGCTAGTCCCTGCCATGTGCAAAGTGAGGACACATTTCCGACACACACTAGTTTCGGTTAACATGGTACCATGTCATGTGAAGACTGTGTGTACCTCATCAATGCTGGTGGGAGAGAGAAAACATCACACGGTTCCTTTTCAGTCTGGGAGTGCTTTCATTTTCCTACACCACGATCCTATAGTCTGTGCTTTTTACATAGAAGCAGTAATCTAATCCTAATGGCCTGCACAGTATTTAGTGAGATTCCTCTCTTCCTACACAGAGATTAGGCAGGTGCTCACACTCCCCTCGAGTGCATTTTACAGCTAGTTGGGTGCCTGAAGCAGTAGGTGGCCACGGGCCATTCTCTCCTTCCGTCCC